ATAAATGGGATAAGGGTAAGAACGGATATGGAAAGAAAAATTTTCGATATTATTCGTAATTGGAATACATATTTACAAGTGCATTCAACCGATAACCGCGATCCTCCATTGTTTTATTAATGCGTGAACTCTATCAAGCGGCAAAATAAACCCACTAATACCAACGATAGCCCAGAAACGGGAGATATTACATATACACCTGCGCGAATCCAATTCATATACGGAATCAATCGATCGAATATACCAAAAAAGCATTTTGCAATTTTAAATGAAACGAAGTACTGCTTCTATACCGATGAGACTCTTATCGATCCACGGTTTATGAAACCTCTGACAATATATTCAGTGGTGCGCAAAAGTTTCCGGTCAAATTGATTTCCCACTTTATATTCGAAAAGCAATATTTAAAAGATTCTTAACTAATATCGAATGAAATACTATAACGAGTGTACTATTGATTTCTGATTACAACATCGTTAAAAGTTTCTCGAAATAAAGTCTGATGCTTTGAAAAAAAAAAAAAAGAAAAAACAACGTGAGTCAGATTCATCGTTCGAAGCCAAGAGGTTATCGACTTTACTCGATCGAATTTATTTTTCGAGCTAACAATGTTTTTTAAGTTTCTTGTAATTCCTCGACACAGAAATACACGTCTATCGAAACTTTCTGAATAAAATCACATCTTAGAGCAAAAAAATAATCGAATCTGACGACTCGGATCATTCTTCGATACCGTTGAGAAGTAACCACTGTGTCGTAAAAATTTTATCAAAATTATATCCACCAAACAAAAATATTTCAACACGTATCGAACACAATGAATATAACAGGCAAATAATATAACATCGTTAATCTCGGCGATAGCGATACGCGATTCAGCAAGTTTATATTGCTAATGATGCAATGCATACCAGGATACCAGAATCCCACTATTGAAAATTACCTCTCTACCCAATGATGTATCGTTTATCTATATCGAGCTCTAAGCTAAACTTTAGAGAGCATTATCGGATGGGATGATTCGTCCTATTCTGGAATTCACGATTTATCGATTCCACCTATATCCAGAGCAAATCTCTGTCCACGGACTGGATTCGAGAGAACTTTTCCCAAGAATTTCCTCGCGTAACGAAACGACAACTCGTTGGTCGCGTTATGATCGTCTGGTCGCACGCAGCGCCACGCCACGGCGGTGTAAAAGTGGCGACAGTGGCGCCCATTCGTCCCATGTTTCCTCCTAATTAATGCGATGGAACATCTACGGTACAAGGAATTCCATGTTCCCCGCGGCGTGGCAATATCGTGTGGCCGTCTGGACCGCTTGTACTCCGTCTTAACGCGGAATGTCGGCATGGGGAGACGAGAGGAGGACGACGAGTGGAGGGGGTATTGCGTACTGCGTTAATGAGAATTCGGGTCGATCGTTGGTCGATTCGCAACGGTGCCCGCCATCACTCTTTTTTTCCTCGCCGCGTCAAATTGCCTTTCGATCCCTGAATTATCCATCCCATGAATTTTTATAAGTTCTGACGCGTTTCGTCGCCTCTATAGACGACTTCGACTATATGCATCGATATATTTGGGGGAAGAGGGGTACAAATTCCAAAGGATTCGGCCGAGGATAAGAAATGCGATAAGAAATTCTCGTTTCTCCTCTCGAATAAGAAAAGATATGAAAGCATAAGAATACCTTATTTGCCAGGATATGTCGTGAAAAATAATTCTATCTTATTGTCGAGGGAAGAAATGAAATTACGAACGATCGATCGATGCCAATACGTATGCCTGGATGCTTTCAATCTTCCCGAACAAATTGCGAAAATAAGAAGAGAAATTTGTGTCGTTACATATAAAATTTGTTGACGTTTCATTAAGAAGTCACGGGCGAATATTGAACATCGATTGAAATCATCCGATGTTGGCGAGAATTGCTGCGTTAATAAATGCGAAACATCGATTGTATTTACTACGTTTGTACTTGTTCCTTGTTTTAAGACATTTTATCGTGACTGACAGTCATAGAAATTGGCTTTTGATTATCGCTTACGTTATCAATATTATACACGTTGGTGAAATTTTACACGTTCGAACGCCGAGAATATTTTTCAAATAAGTTCAAATAAGTTTTAAAGCGAAATTTTATGTAACATCTTTTTTCTTTTTCTTCTTCTTTTTTCTTTTTTTTTTTTTTTTTTTTTTTTTTTGTTTTTTTTTTTTTTTTTTTTTTTTTTTTTTTTTTTTTTTTTTTTTTTTTTTTGGTTCCTTGTGCATTATACTGCCGTAGCGTGCCTGAAAAAAATTGAAAATATTCCGTACAACGTATATTAATCACTTTACATAGAAAAATGAAGAGGAAAACGGAAATATAAAATTGAATTCCATTGTTACGTCTTCGTACGTAATTTTATAATAATTTGAATTAAACACATTGTAATCATTAGTTTGTATTTATCGAATTATAATTACTCGCGTAATAACACGATAGGAAAATTGTCATTCAATATATTATTCCCGATCACTTTTCTATCGATACGATAAGTATCAATTTCAATAGTAACCGCAAATGAACAATCGTAATTGGCATATTATTACTAATATGTATATTAATGTCAAACATTCAAAAGCGTTTCTAATTTGACGTTCTAAAATTAATATTTTAATATTATTATTGTGTTGGTCCACGTCAACTGTATTATAAATATTGGAAAACGATAATAAATAAGAGAATAAAGTAAATCAACGAATAAATCAAAGAATTTATCCTTTCTATGGCATCATGTTTTTAATGAACTCGGTTTCATCATATTATAAAAAACTGCATTAAAAATTCGCATTAATCTGTTTGCACTGAAGTTTCGCGGCGTAGAGTTCGCGGCGTCTAAAGTTCGTACAGTATTATCGATTGTTTTGTATGCTTTCCTCGTGCTCGTGCAGTAAACCGAACGGTTTAGTTATTTTGTACGTTACAAAAGCAATGGTCGCCACGATTGTTTAACTATTTGATTGCAACCCACGTCCCCCCTCCTAAATTAGGTCAAAAATGCTAGAGGGAAAAGTAGATTGAACTACCAGAGTAGGGGAATTTTTTTTCGTTTTTCTGACGAAAATTCGAAAAAGTAAAAATAAATGCGCGCGATTGTTTTCGATATACACGATCGTGTTAATTTGTTTAAATTTTATTCGAGTTCGTATTGTATTTGAAACTTTAACAAGATCGTATATCGTGGATTCGTTATCGCTATCTTCGAATCTTTTCGTTACGTTGGAATACCTTCTTCATTATCTGAACATTGTTTGAGAAACCAAATACGTTTTCGCTTTAACAACAGTGTTAGTTAATGTTCTGCTCGCAATACGATAAATCTGTACTTGAGTTTCCACATTGTTAGTAGCATAATAAAGCTCGTAACTTTATTATAGCATTGTTCGAGAAAAAGATAAGTGAATATGTTTAATAAGAATGTATAAAAGATAAAAAAAATATTAATCTCTCGAAATTTTGTAAATGTAATTAATTAATTAAAAAATAAGATAAGAGGTATGTATGTGAGTTAGAGTTTTTAATTTATCGAGAAAGAAATAAGCTCGATCTTGTTCGATGATTAAAGGATTATAAAAATTTTGCATGATTTTACACGACGTTATGAGAAATGCAT